GTGTACTTTACAAGATCATTCCCGGACAAAATTTTCCCGAGAAGAAAAATAATAATAATAATAATAATAATAATAAGAAACAGAGTAAAAACAATATGTTCCCCAACTTCGTTTGGGGAACATAATAAGAAACAGAGTAAAAACAATATGTTCCCCAACTTCGTTTGGGGAACATAACTAGTGCTAATTGTAACGGGGACCGTTACAGATGTTCCCCAAACGCTCCCCAACTCCCTTTTGGTGCCATATTCCCTGTAATCTCTATTAAATAAGAAATACTTATGGAATTTAAAGACTTAATCAAGGTCTTCCCAGAAAAATACAAAATATATTTAAAAATAGGCATTGCATGCGTGTTCATGTGCGTAACGACCATATTATCTTGTCTACACTATCTAAAATTTTAATATACTTAATATCAAAGCATTTAATCCAAAAGTATTAAAAAATTCACTCATTCGAGTGTATTTTTAATTTTACTCATTTCACGTGCACGCACGTGCAAGCACGTGCATTATGACTACACCTTCTTGTAGGAGTCCCTTATATTTATCTATGTTCTAAATCCCATCCTGTTTGGTTGAAAAACAAGGGAGTTATAGCCATTTGAAGTTTCAGCCAATCAGATTGCAGCACACATGCATTTACGTGATTTCATAAATTTTTATCTTTATTGTATTGAAGAATATCTAAATGAATGACTATATTTTAAAATTCCAAACATTTCGTCAAAAAAAGGAGATATAGCCATATAAATTTTCAGCCAATCAGATTGCAGCACACGTGCATGCGCGTGATTTCATGAATGTTTTTCTATATCATATTTTAGGATATCCTAATGCATGACTATGTTTTAAATTTCAAAGCATTTCGTCAGAAAACAAAGGAGATATAGCCATTTAAAGTTTCAGCCAATCAGATTGCAGCACGCGGGCATGCGCATGCTTTCATGAAAATTCTTATATATCATGCTGAAGATCTTCATAATGTAGGACTATGTTCAAAATTTCAAAAGATTATGACAAGAAACAAGAAAGATATTGAGACTTTAGTTTCAGCCAATCAGAGCGAAGCGCACGTGCATGCGCGTGAGATCTTGCTCTTTTGACCATGCCATCTCGTCTATACTACTAATGTATCCTTACATTATGAGTTTCAAAACATTTCATTAAAAAATAGAAAAGTTACGGCAAGATACATTATATTGGTCATTTCACGTGTTGCACGTGCTCGCTCTTGCAAGCACGTGCGCGCAAAATGACCTTCGTTCGGCAAATCTACATAACATGTCTACTGACCCTAACAACATTTTACCTTAGTCGGATGTGTAGTTTACAAGATCACTCGTGGACAAAATTTTCCCAGGAAGAAGAAAAATAATAATAATAATAAGAAACAGAGTAAAAACAATATGTTCCCCAACTTCGTTTGGGGAACATAATAAGAAACAGAGTAAAAACAATATGTTCCCCAACTTCGTTTGGGGAACATAACTAGTGCTAATTGTAACGGGGACCGTTACAGATGTTCCCCAAACGCTCCCCATGTCCCTTATCGTGCCTTATTCCTCTAAGACCTTTTATAAATATGCTAAGTATCCCAAGATTTCATTTAAGAATATAAAAGTTACAATGATATCAACTATCAATGATATATTGTTTAACGTTTTGCATGTGCGCACACGTACATGTACATGCATATGCAAGATGATTATGGCATGTTGATTAAGCGATTAACATATCTTTCTATCCCGCGAATCAAAGAAAAAAAATACACAGTCATATAAATTTACCATTTTTCAAGCATTTCTCATATTTTTAATATATCGATTCACATTTTATTTCTCTACTTATTTTAACCTCGGACTCAAAGTTGGTTTTATTCCGACGACAAGGCAGGGTTTTAGTCGACTAAGGTTATCACGCCAATACCTAACCAATCAAAATGAACTTATTCAATAGTAGTTCCATACATGGAAAAGGGATTTTCCTTTCTGTTCAGAATTTTTTTTAAATATTTCCTCTCAGGCCATTTTGACAACTCTGATACCTGTGCCTGGTAAATTTTATATACTTTGTAAATAAATATATAAAGGTTTTTTGACCGGAACTATTCATTTTTTCCAATGCATAGGGGGCTACTCTCTGGGTTTTACAAGAGATGTTTAAAAAGACATTCGTGTCAGCTAATGTGACCTATATTGTTTAACACCTTCTTATTAATATTTTTTCATGAATGCAAATATCTGATTATTTTACGAAGGAGCGTACATGTATATTGATTTTTTAATATACCGAAAATCGCTATTTCTGGGGATTGCGTAATTCTAAAAAAAATTCAAATAAATTTCAAAGGTAAATTAAACAAAGGATGCTTGGTATTAAAATATTATTTCAAATCAGTAGAATCGAATGCTATTAACGACATCTGAATAAATAGGCTATAAAAGGCCTATATGCCAACTTTGGTCATCTGCACTTTAATTTCAAACACGACAGGATTTGTAATTTTTTCTGTATAAATTAATAATTTCTATATACTTTAGAAACTCAAATGAAATATTTTAATACACTTTCCTCGAGCTCTTTTCTGCAGTTTTCCTGAATTTTTATGTGGGTCCGAGGTGTTATTTGAGTTTAACAGTGATTCTCTACGTTGCCATTAATTTGATTTGTTTGTGTGTTGTGGGGGGGGGGGGGGGGGGGGGGGGGGGGGCCAATTTTTATTCTTAACCTATTTAACGTTGGAGTTGAATCTTGTATCTTATTCCAAGAACTTAAGATTGATTGTGACATTTGGATGAACGGTCAAGGTCATTAAAAACCACCACCTCTTCAACTTCTAACCTGTCAACCGAAATAAACTCTGAAAGGTGTTTCTAGATACATGTACATGTACTTCATGTTTCTTTTTACCCTTGGGTCAATGACAAAGGTTAAGGTCGATTTCAAGTTCATAGGTCAAGGTGATTTTGGTAAATAGTTAAGAGTCAAAATCAGCAAGCATCGAGCATTGAATGGAAAGTCAAAATTTTATTTTTTCAAAAGCTTTTGGTATATGAAAGATTTTGTCTTACTTAATGCTAAAACACAATTAAAATTTTTTTTCGAACGTATGAAGGGACTGGTATCCAAGGAAATTCATTTCCTTAGCAACGGGCTCATAAATCCTTATGAAAATCAATGATTTTTAGACATTTTTCTATGAATATGTTTTCTGAACGTGATAAGATATGGTATTTTGGTTACTTTATTTGTTGAAAGATGGAATTACTCTATTCTTAAAAAATAGGAAAAACAAAATTTCTGTAGTGATATTGTTGCCATGACAACGGGAAAAGAACATGGCGTCAATGCTTTTTAATTTTGAAAAGAATTGCATATGTTTATCACCATATACACAAAATCTACAACCACAGCTGGAAAAATGAAGGCTGTGATCTTGTTAGGGGTTATCTATATGTCATATCTATACAATAAAATTTGCAGGCAACTTTAGCAGAAAAAAGTTACAAATGGTTAAAATGTGTGACAATCTGGCATTTATAAGCTTTTTTGAAGGGGTGGAGGTAAATTGAATACATGTACAGTGTCCATTATATTGGTCATATTGGTCTGATCAAAGCATACTCATAATTTTACTATTGTTGATAAATTTCAAAAGGAATTCATATTCCTCACAAACAAAACTTGGAAATAAAAGAGGGGGGAGGGGGTTATAGTAATCACCTTGTCACATATCCATATGTATGTAAAATTTTGACTTGTCCATTACATTTCAATGAAGTGCCACTGAAAGTTCAAACTTGATATTATGATTGCTTATGATCTGGAGATGTGTTCAAAACTTGACCCAAGGTCATTTGAACAAGTTCGAGGTCATTGGTAGAAGAATAGTGCAATCTTTGCCCATTCTGTAATATTCTAATGAAAAGACTTGAAGTTTCATCTAGGGGATTATTATTTGAGCTGTGGGTTTGTCATGACCTTGACCAAAAATTCATTTGGACACGTTTGACCTTGACTCAACGACTTAGCCTTTTCAAGGTCACTGCAGTAAAATTATGAGTTTGGTACATTAACATATTTAACTTCGAATGAAGAGAAATTGGAAGTTTGTGTTCTACACAAAGGTTTTACTACCTATGACTTGAGTATATGTCATAATCATTTGGGTATGTAAATCAGCAGTAGCGAAACGTTAAAAAGGTTTTAAATAAATATTTGGACCTTTTTTGTAATTAAAAAAAACCGTTTTATGTTATACCAGGAGGGTTGATATCATTTTATGAGCTCGCTCATAATAATTCTAGTTTATGAGAGAGAGTCACTATGACAGCTCACATAATTTTAATTTATTACACACTTAGTAATAAATACAGGTTTTTTGCATATGCGATATGGCTCACGTCACAATAGCCGTATCAGCCCTGCAGGGCTGATATGGATATACGGGGCTGATAACCTATATCAGCCCTGCAAATCCATATCAGCCCTGTAGGGCTGATACGGCTATTGTGACATCAATATCACATCCTTAGTAAACTAAACCACAAAAACAGTACTTGTGATCGTACACAATTTTTGGTGGGTTCATATTCTCTTAATTTTAAATTTTTGAAAATAAGGTTAATCTTAACTTACAAATACATGTAATAGATTATTTTAAATCTAAATTTGAATTTTAAATTCGGCCCTCTGGCTGATATTGGTGTCTCGGGCTGATACAGGATGTGATATGGAAAAGGGTATGTATTATTCTCTATATAAAACCATATCAATCAGGCAAGTAGCATCAGGTTTGGGTTGGGTAGGGGGGGATTGACATCCCCAACTCAATTTTTTTTTCTCAACATTACCTGATGTTTGACCCCCCACCCCACCCCATCCCTGAGTTTGGAGGATTTCTCCACTTTTTTCTTGCAGTTTTTTTTATGCCTACTCCACACCATGCACTTTCAAAAATGATACCATGTCTGTCAGAACGAATGACTGCAACCTTTGGTATTGAACCTACGATATATTCTCCTGCTGTCCTAGTTAAGAAACAATATTGCAAGACAGCTAAGACCTCAGTAGCTACTGGTACCTAAAATAAAAATCTGGAAGGGCTATATATATACATGTATATGAATGTCTAAACTTGAACTGACCCTAAAAGATATTTTATATTAATAACCCTAATGGGTAATCTTTTGAATGACATATATCGAAATTTTTTTTGTATTTATATTTAAAAACATTTTGAAAACAATGTAGAAATCAGAAGAGAATGACAAATATGAATATTTTTTTTTTATATAATGCCTAGAGATACAAAACATAAATTTGAGGAACGTGTCATCTGACTTTAAACTAGCCCTCTTTCTTTTTTCTCACAAAAACATTTTGTCAGTTTTGAAATTAATTGATTGATCATTTAATATTGACCTCGTTTTAATTATGACACTTCAAAATGCAGAATATAAAGATATGTTTCAGATTCTTCTACTATCTAATTATGAATCTGCATGCCAAAAATTGATAGTTATTAGATTTACATCAACAAAAAATGCCAACAGACAAACCAAGAATGTTACTTTTCGATTAAACATTTTTATTTGATCCACTTTCATGAATACACTGTACAATTAATGGATCTATTTTCTGGATCCCTGAGTCTCCGGTAACACTATCCACTCACTTCCAGCATCAATGGTCTGTACTGTAATAATGTATTCTCATAATCTGAAAAAGTGATAAAATTAAAATGTAATAATATCATACAGCTTTGCCTTCATATACTAGGAACCATTTCTAGTTGACCTTGAGCAATGATTGTGAATGCAAAGCATGTTTATTGGAATCAATTAAATTCCAAGAAATCTCGATGGTTTATCATTTTACTTTAAAAAGTGAACGTTTTTACTAAATGTATTATTTACATGTTTTTCCTGTCTAATTCTATATCAGCTCATCCAATTCTGTTTCTGTTTCTTTCCGAGTTTGGCTTCAAAGTGCCGAATTTCATTCTATAAACAGAAGTATACAACTCAAAGTTGAGACCGTATTGATCTTATATATTCTTTAAATTTAAAAACTTGCAATTAAAAGGTCAACTGGTTCCATAAGTTTTGTCAAAACTCTAAATTATGTTTTTTATTTCTTTCCAATACCCCCCCCCCCCCCCCCCAAGAAAAAATGGAGTATAGATATTCATTTCATAAATTTACGTGCTTTAAATCTACTGATGCTTATCATTTGAACCTAGTTGACCTAAATTAGTTCAGTGGTACCGGAGAAAATATTAGCTGAATATGAGTTTTCTTTTATTAGTAAACACTGGATGACATTAGCAACAAGTTATTATTTTTTTACTGTGGTTATATATATACAATTCAGTTACCACTAGTCCACTACATAATACACTTGTCTGTATCACAATACTTCCAAGGTAATCCCCTTTCCTAAACTAATATATACATATTAAGTACAGAGTTAACCCCCTGCCCCTTTTTCATTTTTTTTACAGATGCCATAACAAAGGTCATTCCATTTTACAAATATTTCATTAGTGGTGGTTTTCATAAATTAATAATTTTTCATGTAAAAAGCAGGTATCATCTTAAATGGTAAATAAAGATATCTACTATACAAAATTTTATTTACCCGACTATCAGTTAATCATTATAGGTTGTGACAGTAATAAGTGACTTTGGTTACATACATTCCATGAATGCAACAAATTAAAATTAAACAAAATTCAAATTAAACTTTATAATTTGGGAATTGGGATACAGTTATGTGACTGATCATGACCAACTTTTTCACGTAAGGCCCGTAGATACAATCTAAGTTGGGGGGGGGGGGTAATTTCATTTGCTCATATTATAGTTTAATATCGGCTATACTTTGTGGGGGGGGGGGGCATACCCCCCTCCTCCTGGTTCCTCAGGCCATGCATAATCTTTTCTTTTTTGTTATAAAATACTAAAGTAATGCTAACATAATTAATCAATCAGAATTAAATTAAAATGTGCAAAAACACTTGCCAAGTGTTAGATATTTTACTGCATGGTTAATTTATGCTATACATTCTTCAGTAACTGTTGTAATGGTAAATTGTAAAAAAAAAAAAAATTCAATCACTCACCGTAATTAAGACTCATGAAAACGCCAAAACTGAGGCTCAGACTGCTCCAAGTTTTTAATTTTCTGCTAGTCTTCTGTACATTGTTATTGAAAACAATGTAAGCAAACTACCGTTTATTCCTCCTATTTTAGAGAGCTACACCAAAGGGAGGTAATTTGAAGCAAAAGTGACAGAAAATTATGGATTTCAATCAGTTATCATATATAAATGCTTTAGTTGCCTGCAGATTTTTTTCTTGATTCTTCTAGAAGAAATACTGTTTAATAAATATTTTATGTTGATAAGCTTTAATGTGGTTGTAGATTTCTTATAAAGTACTTCAAATTTGCTGTATTTTAAAGCAAAATAAACCTCCAAAAACTAGTTATATTTATCAAAAGGTGAAGAGAATTTTAAAAATCAACAGTTGCTAAAATAGAGTATATTTATATAAATAAAATAATAATTTAAAAAGCTTTTTTTAATGACTAGTAATAAAAAAGTATTTGTTTAACCATAAATTCAAGTGTCATGATAAAGTACAAAACACGCTATGTGAAAGGCGCGTGGTTTCCATAGCAACAATACGAAAAATTATTTTTTGCTTGCTTTTTTCTATCATACCCTTTATTCTGAAAATTTATATATGAGTTTTAACCAAATCTGTTTCTATGCCACTTTCCACATTTTTTAACTAAATGCTCGATGCTTGCTGATTTTGACTCTTAATATCAACATTTTATTCAGGTTACCAGTGACCTTGACCTAAGTTTCAAGGTCAAGGGTAAAAAGATCTGCATGCTTCAGTATGTTACATGTCTTGACATTTAGAAGTTCTTAATTCTGCATGAACATCAAACACTCAAGTATACTGTCTTTTAATACATTGTGTGCGGTCGCATGTGCATGCACGTCCATGTATTTACTTTTGATAGTAGTATAATGTAGGCAATCATTATATCTATTCATATTTGAAATTTCACCCTGTATTATTGAGAACCAAGAAAGTTGTAGGCATTTAAAGTTTTAGCCAATCAGATTGCAGCACACGTGCATGTGCGTGCGTTCATGATTATTCTTATATATCTTGCTGTAGATCTTCATAATGTAAGACTATGTTCAAAATTTCAAAGGATTTTGTCAGAAAACAAAATAGATATTTAGACTTTAAGTTTCAGCCAATCGCAGCGAAGGGCACCTGCATGTGCGTGAGATCTTGCTATTTTGACCATGTCATCATGTCTATACTACTATTATATCCTTATATTATGAGTTTCAAAGCATTTCATCCAATATTTAAAAAGTTACGGCTAAATCTATAATATTGGTCATTTCACGTGTTACACGTGCGCGCACCTGCACGCACGTGCGCGCAAAATGACCTTCGTTCCGCACATCTACATAACATACCTAGTGACCCTAAAAAGGTTTCACCTAGATCGGATGAGTAGTTTACGAGAACACTCGCGGACAAAAAAGTACCGGAGAACAAAGAAAAAATTCAGAAAAAGTAAAAACAATATGTTCCCAAACTTCGTTTGGGGAACATAATAAGAAACAGAGTAAAAACAATATGTTCCCCAACTTCGTTTGGGGAACATAATAAGAAACAGAGTAAAAACAATATGTTCCCCAACTTCGTTTGGGGAACATAATTAGGGAGTGAAAGGTAGTTGATTGACCAATGCTGGAAAGTGGAGAAATTCTCCCCAAAAGTGCGCGAAAAATATTGCACCGTAAATTGCACCTTTTTGGCATAACGGAATTTGTAGCGTTATGGTCAAAGACAAATATACAAAACCATAACGCTACAGATCTGCAGCTAAACCCTACCCATAACTTTTGATTGATCTGAGCTATGATTCTCATTTTTGACATTTGTATTATAACAACACATTCCCTTGGGTACCAATATATTTAATCTTTTGACCTTGACCTTTGAGTTTGACCCACTTTTGCAAAAATCTGCCCAACTTTAATCTTGAACATATCTTTTTGGTGTTAGTGAATCATCTTGATCAAACCTTTGCAAATCTTCGCTAGCCAAGGGTTTCTCTTGTAGAGTAGATTTCGGATCGGAAACCCTTGGCTAGCGAAGATGACCTTTGCATGGATGTTAACTTTTTGACCGTGGAGTTTGACCCACATTTTAAAAACTTTAACCTTGGTCATACCTTTTGAACAGTTAGTACTAGGGATTTCAAATTTCACAAGTATATACCCTGTGACAAGACCTTCCTTTCGATGCTAACAATACTGACCTTCACCTTGCCGTTTGGATGACATTTAAGAAACTATAACTTGACCTTTACCAATGATCGATAAACTGCCCCGTGCGGTTCACAAACTTACTTACTATTGTTTCATTATCGAAAAGATTCACAATACTTTCCAGAGAAAAAAAGTGCTTGGTTTTTCAACTACCTTTTCCTGACACTATCCGTCCTTGGAGTTAAAAAAAAAATAATCATGGCGTTATTATACACTTTTTACGTGTATTTCACATCATTCTTCCAAATATGCAATAAACATTTGCGGATACAAAAATTTCTCTCAACATCTCGGTGGGTTTTCAGTGGTAGGCTAGATCCAGGAATTTCATAACGGGGAGGGGGGGTGGGGGGCAGTGAGGTCTGGAGGCTAAGCACTAGTGAGGGTTCGGGGTAAAAGTTCCTTGAAGCATTGAAGGTGGCGAGTTCTAATAAATAACACCCTTTTCCTTGATTTTAGGATTAAAAATGCTTGTTATACACATAAAAAAAGGGGGTCTGCCTTTGTGGTCCACAGACACTCTTAAAAGTCAGACTACGTTTAAGTTTGACTACCGAAAAGGATATGGGTACGCAAGACCACAATTGTGACCAAAGATATACCCCCTAAAAAAATCACATATAAAATTCTTTTCGATATCTATAGTTTATAAGAAAATGTTTATTTATTTATTCATTTCATTTCATTTCATTTCATTTCATTTCATTTTATTTTATGAGAATAAACCGGAACAGACAAGCACCTTGACTTTTGGTTCTACAATTATTTTGCAATTGAATATTTCGGATTGTTTCTCACTTTTGAGTACAAATCAGGGAAAATACGCGAGGTAGTACGAAAGATGTCGCGAAGAAAAACAAATATGGCGCAGCTATACTGAAAATATTGAATGCTAACAAGAATTTGTGCTTTATATTTCAGGTTTGGAATATTTTACAGTAGAAATCAATTTTTGTGAAGAAATCTGTTCTTGTGTATTTATTTTAAAAACATATTTTGGTCAATAATTGAAGAATATACATTGGAATTATCGCCTCGGTTTTGGCGTTATCAGCTAGTTCAGTCAGGGACCTATACTAGTATATAGGTCCCGGGTTCAATATTGTTTTTTTTTTCAAATATATTTATATCTTTGATAACGCTGAAGTTTATTGTTACATTACAGATATGTATTCTAGAGCTCATCTACTGATAGAAAATGAATACAAGAAGCTTCTTGAAGATCAACCATGGGTACAGTATAGCCTAGCTGCAGATCTGAAGCGTTATGTTTTATATATTTGTCTTTGACCATAACGCTACAGATCCTGTAATGCAAAAAAGGTGCAATTTACGGAGTAATATTTTTTGTGCACTTTTGGGGAGAATTTCTCCACTTTCCAGCACTGGTCAATTAACTACCTTTCACTCCCTAATTCTAGGCACATTATTTAACTAATCTGTATATTTTATCCATCTCCCAACCCTTTATTGTCTTCTCTATAAGTGATAAACTCACTTGAATAAAATTATTTGTTAGATTGCTGAAAATTCACCTCAAGTGAGTTTATTGCCTGTAGAGACAACTATAAAGGGTTGGGAGGTAGATAAAATGTACATATTGGCTACAGAATGTGTCCAAACTTAGGGAGTGAAGCGTTATGGACAAGGCAAAACCAGAACGCTACAGATCTGCAGCTAAGTATAGCCTTAAGTTTTTAACATGTTTAAGTCCAAGAATAGGGCAGTTCTTTTTATATATGGTATATTTACATATAGATCTATACACAATATAACAAAACAACACTTAATTATGTTGTAAAAACAATCAAATGCTAAAAAGATTTGCTAAAACATGTGTCCACCTGCCTTTAGTGGAGAACTGGCATCCATCTTCTTTAAATTTGGTGACCACCATATTTGGATGCTGAAAGACATACCACTTTGAAATTACAGAGCAAAAATGCTCATCTTGCATGATTTAAGGATTAAACAAATAGACAGATTAAGAGAAACTCTAAATTATGACACTTTGAGTTTCCTTCCTTTCTTCTCCCTAATGTTCCAAGCTCCCATTTTTTGCATTCCTCAGAATATATATGTACACTTTATTGCTATGTAAAGATTATACTGTATAATATTAATTAGAGTTTGGGTTTCTTTAGATAAACTTTTTTCTAATATAATGATATATGTGACAATCAGTGTTGTCAGAGACACGTACATTATTTATTTGCTTTTGTACTACTTAAACAAAGAAGCATCATAAGTATGTGTATTGTTTTTATTTTAAGGGTATAGAAGCCATACCTTTACAAGATGACAGTATTTTTGAGTGGGTAGCTAAAGTTAAAGGACTGAAAGATTCAATATGGGATGGTATGTCATTTTTCAATATAGATTTTTAAAAAATAATTAATTTAGAATGTTTGTAATATTCGTTTTCATGAAATGATTGCATTGTTTATTTTATTTACAATTCTGTTTTCTAGCACAGTAGCCCCACATCACAATATGAATATTTTAATTTCAAAATAACATCAATTTTAGCACAATATTTTGAAGATACCATTCAGTAAAATTATCTCCATAATTTTTCATTAATAGGAATAAATTTCAGTTTATTTTACAGTCAGTATATTACAGATAAAATATACTAGTAAACAATGTCAGTATTTCATTTATTTTAAGCTCATCTTCTGAAGGTATGAAAGTATAATGCTCAAGGAACACTGTGTATGAATTTTAATACTTATTTAATTAATGTTCATTGCAGGTGGTGTATTCAGACTTTACATAAAATTTGATGAACATTACAACATTCGTCCTCCAGAAGTGTGTTTTCATACAATTCCATATCATCCAAATGGTAAAAACTAAGATT